TGGATCTTGGTACCTCAAGAATTCCCAATCATAAACATTAAAGAATGTTGGGATGGATTTATTTTTTTCTTCTCCAAGAATGTTGTGTGTTTCTGATTGGATTTGGGTTTGTGTTTTTGTCTTTGATGGTCTTTTTCTTTTTAAAATTTCTCCATTTTTTGCAGTTGTGTGCTCTACAGCACCACTGAGAAGTTGCAAATCATTTTTATTATAATTTATTTCCTGAATGCCTTTTGTCTTTGAGATACATCCCTTCTGTTTGTGTGAAATTGATGGCTGACAAACTTCCATGATTGTATGTTTGATTTCAACACCACTCAGGGATGATGGAGAGCCTGGATGCTGATTTTTTGAATGTGAAGTTTCTTCCATGGGATCAAAGTTGCATCTTGAGAGTTCATCAAACACAGAGATATTCAAATCAGGAAGTTCCTGATTGTCAAAATCTTTGGCAATTTGCTTATCCATAGGAGAAAGTGAGGCTGGGCTGATCAACAAAAGTATAGAATAAAACTTTGAGATTGACATACCCATACTTGAAGCCAAAAGGGTTCTGTTGAGCCAATGATTGATTGTACAAGAGCAATCTCACTGGGTGACTGAAAGAATATGGAGGTTGTTTTCTGATTGTAATGAGGAATCAAAAAAAATCTAAAGATTGAAAAATGAATTGATGAGTTTTGGAGTAGTTGGTTTTTGAATTGAAACAAATCCCCAACCCCCTTTGAGTCTCAATTTCTTGTAAAAATTTAAAAATGAAACTGAAATTTGACATGACCATATTTCAACTTTAGCTGTACCAATATAAAAATTGAGGGTCTTCCCATACATCATTCATTACCTTTCTCTATACTTATATTTTATTCAACAAAGATACAGTCCTACAGGAAATCATACTGATGACATGAAAAAGTGTCCTTGATGGGTTGTTAGAATTTTGCAGTACATAAATAAAGATAGAAAACATGAAATCTTCTCCAGCTTGAGTAATACTATAATAGTATAACAGTTCCCCTACTGTAGTGTAGTGTGAATTAGTGCAGGGGAATTCTTCTGAAAGATAGTGTGGCTCAGCAAAATTCTGCCCGCTCTGCAGTAATGCTACACATGCAGGCCACAAAACAGATCTCAACATGATCTTCTACAGCAAATTTTAGTGGGTTTTCTGCCCCAAAAGCCCTTCAGTGTAGTTTAACACAATATGGTGGAATTAAGAGTACACTAATACTACAGAGTTGGTACACTGTTTTGAGGGCCACTATGCTAACACTAGTGTGCCATTTAGAGTAGTGTAGCATAGCAGACCATTGCTGAATTTACACATTGTGCTTGGGATATTCACATGTATTTTGGGTATTCAAAGCTGATACATAATTTCATAAGCAAAAATTCATAAATGAATTTGGGTTGGTACCTGCTCTGGAGTATCTGAGCAGTGCTCAGATACTCCCAGCCAAAATCATAAGTGATTTTATTCCCATGCATTAATTATACAGTTGACTTCCAGGGGCATTTTTTCAGTTTAATGTATAATCAGTTTAATGTGTGAAATACTCACAAAATCTGAGGCAATTTATGCAGGTTTTACACAAAGTACAATTGCACACCCTACTGAAAAACCCAGCCTACCTTTTTTGCAATACCTGATCTTATGAAAACGTTTCAAGAAAAGTGAATTCACTAGGCATTTATGCCCATGTTCAGTCAACTATTTAGCACCTTATCTACACATATGTATGTATACATCAAAATTGACACCAAGTCTGCCTGCAGCAGAGAAGGTGGGGCCTGGGTGTGTTGCAAAGAAACTACAGCTCTACTTTGGCCTCTGGCCAAATATTCTCATGCTTTTTTTTCTGGTCAGAAAGAACATTTTGTTATTGGATGTACATGATCCTGTTTCATGATTCAAGCTCACACTGCTTGTCTTGATTAATACAAACATGTTATTGAGAAAGGTAATTGCCTTGGCATCAAGCTGGATTTCTCAAGTAACCAGCTATCCATGATCAGGCTTCAGTTGATAAGGCCTTTCTTGTGAATGTTAGTATCATTGGCACCCATCAATCAGTATATTTAGTTTATATTTAGCTCAAATTGGATCAAGTCCTGCAGATTTTTCATTGATGGTCAAATGGCTCAGGTGTAAAAATATTGTTCCGCGGATGATTTTGGACTTGAACACTGGGTTGGTGGGTATTGATTGGTACTAGTTTGGGAAGAAATGGTGTAGGATGGGTGGGCGTGTGCTGGGAACCTCAGGCTCAGAGGGACCAGGCTCAGAGGGGGCCGGCTCAGGACAGGAGGGCCCAGGTACAAATGCTTTGAAACGGTGTCTGCATGGTTGATTACTATCATCCTCATGGGCTGTGTTTGTGCTAAATATGTTATTACATGTGCAACAACGGTAGTAGGATTTGTCCCGTTCATTGAGGCATTTGGTCACTGGTTTTTTCTTAGACTCCCAACCACATTTGCCTGGTGACTTGAGAGACAGCTGGGACATCTCTTGTGTTGTCAATTCTTTACCCTCACCTGTACAATAGGTTCCAGGACATTCAGGGAGCCGGTGGCCTTGTGCCATTGTTTTTTGGGTCTGGGTCAATATAAAGAGCACAGACAAGGTGATACACAGAGTGGAAGCATGTAGTTTCATGATAATGGGGGATTGAACTGGTGTCTGATATAGCACAGGCTTTTGGTGAGTATGTTCAAGTGCACAAGTTTGCTGTTATGCTATTGATCAGCAATGGGAAACAGTCCCCAAAGCGGGTAAAAGAATAGATCCTGGAATCTTGTTGGCACAAAATTCACCAACCTCAGATCATCCCATGAAAAAGGGTATACACACTGCCTAGACTAACTGGTCGGACTGGCCTGTCAGATCACTCCTCAAACAGGTTTTTCCGAGCGGCTATTGGGCATGGCCATCCAGCGAGCCGTCAAACCGGCTTGTCCAAGCAGTTGACAGGCGGGGTCATCTGCTCAGACAGGCAAGTCTGAAGTGTTGTTGGACAGTCATGTCCAAGAAATCATTGGACAGGCCGGTCCAAGGACTTGTTGGACTGGCTGGTCCAAGAAATCATTCAACCCAGTGACACTCTTTAATGGCAAAAGCCTGAAGCCCAAGTTGGCATTTGAGAGTGAGACACTCAATTGCCCCACTGGTGTAGGACTTTCTGATCAAAATCAAAATTGGCTTTAGGAAACCCCCTGGACTTTGAAACCATACAAGCCTTGACATTCAGGAAGAAACCTCCCCTCCTTGAAGAGTACAGCTTCAGAGGCCAGGAAGGTTTCCTTCCAGCCTTGAAGAATTTTGAATTCTCAACAGCCAGGTGGGACCCTTCCTGTCCTTCAATATTACATTTTCAAATACCAGGAGAATGACTCCCAGTTGTCAAGACTGTAAAATTCTAAAAGGCCAGTAGGACCCCCTCCTGGAATTTAAGATAGCACTCTTGAAGGCTGAAAGTTTTTTTACTCAGCCTGCAAGACCAGGTCCTCCTTCTGTGCAGTCCAACCCTCCACAAAGAAAGGCTGGGGTGGACTACACACCCTTTCTTAGGCAGGTGCTGCCTGGAAATTCAAATGGGTGTTCTCCTAAACCTATTCAAAAAAGAGGTAAGTTTGTACACACCCCTTTTTGTGGGGGGGAGAGGGGCACAATGGGAAGGGGAGTGACTTTATCACTTCTCCCACCATCATTTATCTTATTCTTATTTTTTGCTTCAATTAGATCAAAGATCTACATGTTCCTGTTCTTTATGTGTACTTTCTATTTAAAACATTGCTTTGATGGTAGGAGAAAAAAGTTCCAATGAATTTGAGGATTTTTGCCTGAGGTTTTCAAATTTGGCATAGACAATTTAGCACACTCTCACTAAAACTAAGCCTGCAAAATTATAATCTCCCTTGTAAGGAAATACAAATAAAAAAAATTCAGAAGAATTAATAAGATGGCAGAGAAAAACAAAAACATAACAATGAAATTTCAAAAAAGAATGGAATTGGATGCAGAGATGAAAGTACAAAAAATGCAACTTGCTCAGTCCAAACCTGATTTTTAATGTGTAAGTCTCCCTGGGGAATTCCCAGACATTCCACATGGTCCTCTCACCATAACAGGCTTAGTTAAGCTGATGTGAGCTGGCTGAGCTAAAAAAAAAAAACCAGGTATTCTGCAGCTCTAACTCCAAGAAAAAGTCAAGCAAATGGTGTCAGTTGAAATGAAAGAGCTCAGACCATACTCTGCACTGAGCTTGAGTTGCAATCACACTTTTGTTGTACCTTGTTCTGGTCCACCCCTTTGAAGTCTCAGGTTGTACCACCAAATTACATCAGCACAATGACCTGAGCTTGCATTGAGGTGTGATTGAAGCTTGCTGCATGTCAACTGCTGACAGTTTCTTGACTTTTTCTTGTAGTGTCTAAATCCCCAATCCTAAACCCTATCCTCTAAAAACCTGCTCCCTAACCCCAACAGGGGCTGGGACCAGGGGCAATTTAACCCCACTCAAGACACCACATTCAATCCGATCCATTTAGTCAGCTGGGTGATCCAGCTCAGTGCAGCTCACCCAGCTCTGTTGGTTCTAGATGGATGATAATAACATTTTTTTTGATTCTGTTTGGGACCGACGGGATTGGAGTGTCACCGGTGAGACAAAGGGTGTTGTGATGTTTTATCCATGCATGCTCACAAGTCCATGCCTAAGAAAATTTGGCCATCTTGTGTTTTGCTTGGGGTGTAGATGTTGTCTCAGTCTTGATTGTTCTGCTCATTTTGTAGCCATCAAGGATTCATTCCATCAGGTTCCAAAGTGATTGAAAACCAAAGGTATGTTAAATTAATTCATTTGAGCTTGTATTTCAGAAAAAGGTATACTGTTTTTTATAATTTTATATGGATATGCACTTTTTTTTCTCCTTCTAATCTAATTAACATCTGAGTCTCAAACTGTCATTTCAATGTTAAAAGTCTAGTGGTCTTTTCTTATTTATATTGGTTTTGTTTTTTTTAGTTTAGATTTATTTTTTTTGGCCAAAGATTGATTAAATTTTGAAACAAAGTTAGGATTAGCATAAATGATGATGTTACTGAGGATCTCAGCCAACTGTTGATGATTTCCGCCCTTTGTAGATTTATAAGCATACCCGGCACTCCCATTCTCTTCTGCCCAATGTTCAACGATCCTAGTAGCCATTTGAAGCATCTTATCTGATCCATATATTGGGTGTTCATTTTCGAGTGGATTTTGCTCTTCCAGACGCAATAGCATCGAAAACCTCTCCGCCCACTGTGGTTTCTGTATATTCTTAACTTCCATCGCATCCCACACACTCTTGATGGACATCACAATCCTCTCCACTGTTTTTTGGTTTAATCCGCCTTCGGCATGTTGCTTGAACAGTGAGAGACGCATGATGATTAAGAAAGTCGAAATCTTGGTCACATTGCTTATAAAGTTTGAGATGGTGTTGATCTTCTTGGGTGTCACGTATCTCTTGTTGCTTTCTTTGTGTATCATGTTCCTCAATTCAAGTCTTGCTCTCATATGTTTAAGGAATGAATCGGAGAAGACTTTGTATGCTTCAAGATTAAGTTTTTCGTTTGCAAGCTTCAAGAGGATCTCGCCAACGATTTTAGGTCTATTTTTGGTTTTGACCATCCTAGGTAATAGGAATCTGTTTTCGCCAAACGTAGTGATGACGTTTGCTAATTCATTTACATCGATGAAGTAGAAATTTCCGTTCCTCTGAAAGTTCAATGTTGTAAAAAAATCTCCAAGGCCATAATATGGTTTCTGACTATTTATAGCGAGTTCCTCTGGATCTTGAACCTTCACGAAATCCCAATCATAAACGTTAAAGAATGACGGAATGAGTTTATCACCCTCTGTTGGATGATCGTTGCGGGTGGTTTTCGAGTTTGATACGGTTTGCAGACTTTCTGTTGTTAGTCTTTTTCTCTTCAATTTTCCCTCAACGTCAGGTTCAAAATTCTGTGCACTTTGATGTTCAAGTTCGGAAGGTATGTGCTGTTGAGATTGTCTTGAAACCAGCGGTTCATTGCTAATGTAAGAATCAATCGGCCGCGGTAGGATTCTATTTGAGGAAAGCTCATCGTCCTTAGGCTTGCCGGAACTAGATGGATTCTGGCCGTTCAGAATCCTTCGTGGTCGAGAAGAACTTTCGGCACTCGTTGCACTCAGTCTGTCGCTAGTCGGATTGCCGGACCAAGTCAAACTGTCATCCGCAAAGGGCATGTTCAAATCGGGGAGTTCTTTACCATTAGAACATTTGATTATCTTCTTTTCCGTTGGAAGAGTTGGCGGGGTCAGTAGGGCTGAGCCGATCAGCAACGATATCAAAACTAATTCCAGGAGTGACTTGCTCATCATTGGATGGCGATAACTGTCTAGACGAAAAGTGAAGCTTTGAGCCCAGGAAGTCGATAGGAAAGGGCGGACTTCTTGTCCAGTGAATCATGCGAGAAGGACTTGGGCACTGATCACGGGGTTTCTGCAACTCTACATAGAGGGGGAGAATGAGCGGACGATTCCCCAAGTTGTCCAGTGTCTTGCTTCATTTTAGAACACGCCTCAGCTGAAACAGACCCGGTGACTGATGAAATTTAAAAGAGAAGCCATCTACATAAACCCGAGGTTCCCGAAGCAGGCAAGAGGACTTGGATCTCCAATGCGAGCTGAATCAGGTTTCACAGTAGGACTCGATATATGTATGTATCTGATAATTGATGATCCTATCCGGATTCACCCTATGCAAGCCTTTCATCAAAGCCTCTTGAATGAGAATCCCCGAGCGGAGGGGCAGCCACTGGCACCGGGCTCTGCTCCCTGCGGTGGACGTAATGCGATAGGTGCGAGGCCACTACGAGCATGAGCTGGGTTTGGACTTGTCTCAAATTCAACGGTAGGCAATCCAATTCTGAGCCACTACACAGGTTTCCCTGGTGAATTCGGAGGGGGCGCCCGGCGGTTGCCTGGCAAGGTCACACCACTCCGTTTGAGGAGGCTTCAGTCGGGACTTGACGCAAGTCCCGATTCCCTGCTATGGGCGGCGTCAGCATGCGAGTGGCATGTGAGACAGAGACCCTGCGGGGCTGCCCTCCGGGCTCTCCAGTACTCCGAGGCTTGTGTTAGGCTCGGCTTCAGTCAGTCCCCGGGCAATGCCTCGCCGTTCCGAGCGAACCCCGGCCCAGTGGGCTTAGGAATCAAGGGCGGGGAGCAGAGCGTCATCCTTATAAGACATCCCGAATGGAAGCCTTTATTCGGCAAACTTGATGAGTCCCAATCCATCCCCTACAATATGGGAGAGGGGGGGTCGGGTATGTAGACACTAGACGGTCAGCGAAAGAGAGCCAGCTGAAGGGGCCCTCTTCCCTCCAAAGTGTCTTGGTTCATTGATCAGCTCGCCCACATGGAGGCTTGCGAGTTGCAGGCGTCAAAGCTACCCGGTGTGAGGACAGTTAAACTCTCCGAATCTCCCAGCTCTTTGAATCAAGTGATGATGACCGCAAACATATTAGATATCGGCCCCCACCTCGCAGGTGACATCCACTTCACTTCGGTTCAGACCCGAACTGAAAACACAATCTCCCTCCGAGGAGGTGGTTGGAGAGGCTTAGTTAAGCTCGGTTCAGACCCACATCCGGCAGAACCTGATCAATCCGCTGATCTCATACATCCAACTTCATCATACAGTCATGTGTTCGATCCCATCTTCTCCCATCCGCCCATCGGCCGCTCGAGCTCTTCTTGACATTATGCAGACGTTCGGAACGGGGTTCATCGCGGAAGTTCCTGCCGGTGTCTTCCGGCCGTTGTACTAGAAAGTGGTTGTTTTCTTTTACAAAATCACCCCTCGGGGTCCTCTCTGGCCGGAGCACCTCTACATATTGTGAAGAAATGTGTCCGGACTCGGGATCCCGAAGGTTGCAGGGAACTTCATTAGTAATGAGGTGTGTGTCATGTGTGTGTGTGTTTTGTTGGATGTTGGGGATGAATCAGCAATTAAAAGTCTTTCAGGTTCTTGGCTAATTTGGTAATCGTAGATTTCTACAGGTGGAAGCTACGTTGTACCGTTAGAAAGGGGGAAAAAAGAGTGGATTTCTTTGTATCCGCCCGGTCATTACAAGATCGCCGGTTAGTGGTGATGAGGGTGAGTAATCATCGGAGAGGAACTCCGAACTACCTGCACTTCAAAATGCTCATCAATCTGACGTTTTCCATTCTTTTTTGAAAATTTGTTGCAATCTTCTGGAATCTCTGGACCCGCCTTTGATCAAGAACCAGAAAACCTTATTTCAAGCTGTTTTTTGTATGTTTAGAAACAGTTCAACAAGTTTTGCCGAAAGAAAGACACCGTGCCTCGATCAACTTGTGCCCATCTATTGTAGTAATCAATCTTTAGCAATCTTTCAATTCTTCATGCTGGGTATAACATATAAATAGTTGTTGTAATACAGATGTTTATTTCACACCAGCTTCCGCTTTTCCCCGTGACCCCGTCTCACAATCAACATGTTATATTTATTTTAATCATGACCATTTTATTTTTGTCCCTTCGGAGCTGGTCGATGCTCTGGGAAAACCTATCTGAAATCAAACTTGCACTCGTTCTGGACTCTCTGGATGAATAATGGGATTGTATGCGGATTGCTGGTCCGGCCGATCCAAGAGCTTGATGACGTCATATCTGACTCAGCATCTCGATCTCCCGAGACTAGCGTGTCCAAAACACGGCTGATTGCCTGTTGACCGTCCCAGTGCTATTTAATCAACCTCGCTTTCCACTCACACTCCCTTTCCCCCCTCCTTTTTCCCACCTCGACTTATCCTCTTCCTGTCTTTTCTCATTCTCATCTTCCCAAACACACGCACACACACACACAACAGCATTGCTGCAAAATAAAGTACTCTCTATCAGTATCCTTCCTCAAGAAAAGTGTCTAACCTGCCCTGTTTACGTGAATTATTTATTATTTATATATACGTGTGATGCCCTTCCCACTCTTCTCCAATCCCTTTCACAAACCAAACAACCTCTCATCTTCTACTCGATCACAACAACACCCCAATCCTCCTCAAACCAGCTACAGTCACAATCGAACCAAACCGATCTCACATCGATCCAACCACTCCACCTCGAGTAGCACTAACGATCATCCCGTCCTCAGGCCCGTCGCCCTCAACAATTTCTCCCCCACCAGCTCCGCCATCACCTGCCCTGAGCCGATCACCCAGCCCCAGCCCACCTCCATCCGAACCCGCACTCAATCACTCGCAACCACTCGCTCAAAAATTCGCACTACCTCCAACAATCGACCCGCAACCGCCTCTCAGGATCCCTCCTTCAAGTCCGAGTCAACACAGCTCATCAAGAAGCTAAAATCTTACGGCCCTTCGCCCTCCGATAGGCCCGTCCCCAGCACCAAAAAGGCCCAGACTCGTCCTCCTCCAATCAGCCTCTCTAATCAACTCAAGGTGAATATTCTGTTCTACATCTGCCCTGTTTTAGATATAATATCTCTTGAGACAACTCACTCATCATTTGATTTCAATAAATTTTCGTATTATAGCCTCAACACATTCGCACCCATCGCCCCACAGGCTCAGCAGGCAATCATCCTACCCCTCCATCCCCCAGATCGAGGTCTGCATCTGCAGCTGCAACTGTCTTTGATATCGTCCGACCCAGCCGTCGCAGAGATGGAAACCAAAACTCTAGTACCATCACTCCCTTCACCCCACCATTGCCAGTCGCTCCTTCAATCTCTTCACTCCGTACGCCAGCCGACCCACCCCAGCGCGATCGCACCAAGTCCAACAGACTTCCACCCTCCCCACTTTCAATCCATCGTCTCTCTACATCACGCCCCAATGCACATCGTCGTGCAAGCAGTCTAGACTCTATCACCGCGGAATTCCCACCACCACGTTCACCACATCAACAATATTTCAAAAATTCCGGGTTCATCCAAACATCCAGGAAGTTTTCAGCCTGCTCGAGCCAAGTGTCCCCTTCTGAATTCAGTGAGGAGATTATCACTCAGACATCCCGCCCGAGTACAGCCCACACCAGTCCGCTTTCCTCTGCCAATCCCAGGAGCAGATTCAGTCCACGTGATAACCGCCAATTAGCTGCTCCACAAGGCCTCAAACCTCGTCTGATCAACTCTGCCTCATCCGTCTCACTCAGTCCCAAGTCACCCTTTCCATCCAAACTTGCCAGACCCGGTGAACCTTACAGTCCAAAATTGTTAGAACCTGTCGAAATCACGAGCTCCGGCTCAACAGCGAATTGGACTCTGAATGTCTCTGGATCCTCAACGTTCGAACCGACTGTTTGTCTTGTGCCAGATCTACCCGGGACAATCTTAAGACTGAGGCAAACTCCCACCGATAATCCTCAATCTCTGCTCGAACCTCACTTGAAAAAGATCATCAAGATTGGTGTTAATGGTAACGAGCTTGTAGAATGGGAGATTAGACTTGCGGCACCCACTCGTCCTAGATTAAACTCTTCCCGAAGCAATCACGATTTGCCACCGCAACCTAGCCCTCGCACCAGACTTCAATCGAAATCAAGAATACACCCCCCGAAGTTAGTGATGAACAACGACTCTCGGCAGGTGGGGCCTGCAGGCGGATCTCAATCGACAAACGCGTTGCATGACAGCAGTCATTCAAAGAGCAATGTTAATCCTTCAACTTCGGTGATCACGTTGAACTTGAATACTTTCAGAGCCAGCGATATTAAAGAATTGACGGCCCCAGCCTCTACGAACGCACCTCGAAAGTCGAACCAGGTCCCATCACAAGCCCCCTCCTCATTATTATCTCTATTTCCTTCTACCACTAGCCCTGCGAAGTCCGTCCAATCACAGCGCTCAGTCGGACAGGCTCGCTCGCCATCGCCAGCCTCCTCAGCATCAAATCCTTCCTCTCCTGTGTCACTTGTGGAAGAAGAGACTCTAGAAACCGAAGACGATGAATTGCCGATCGGAAAAGGGTATCGAAGGAAAAGATTTGATACCTACGTGGCTCCTGTCAATAGACAAACAGCTAGCCAGGCTCAACAATCCGGCTCGGATCAAATCTCCCACCAATCGAAGATTGAATCAAAATCGAGAAGGAGTTTTGTACATCCTGACAAGAATAGTCATTTCAAATTGAAAACTGAAGACAATCGTTTCAGAATGAATAACGAGCCAACTGAAGATTCAATCAAAGTATCGGAAAATCATCAACTAGCATTCAACTTGGAAAGGCAATTAGCTCATAGTAAATTACTCGGACTCTCAGATGAAGGAGAAAACAAGTCAAATCTTAAGAAACCTAGAAATGATGAGCTTGAATCGAATGAGAATCAGAATCTCAATGGGCTTCATCATTTTCATCAGCAAAACTTGAATCGAAATAGTAATTGTAGTAGTAATCTAGATCGGAATTCACTCATGGAGAAAAGTTATTGGTCTGAAACTGACACGGCCACTAGTAGTAGTATCGTTAATTTCAGAATCTTTAATGATGATCAACATCATCAAGATGATGATCATGATCTCGCCGATGTGTGATGCCCCCCCCCCCCCTTCAAATAAACAACTCGCTTTTGTCTGTTTCTCTTTATCGTATCTCTAGCAAATCCGCATTATGTTGATTCTGTCTTGTGTATTACTACTAAATAGTTATTTATGTCTGTCGGTCTGTTTGTTCCTGTAACGTTTAGAAAACATCGATCTTAAATCGTTTCACTTACTTTTTTTCTTTATCATTATCGTCTCGTTTTTCAGTTCCTCTACATAGGAAGATCTCCAGCATGTTTCTTTCTTTTTTTTTCCTATCCGGTTCGGTTTGTGGATGGTTCTTTTTTTTTTCTCTTCGTCTCCTCGTTGAACAGCATGCACCAAAAAAAAGACATTCATTACTACATCATCATTTATGTTAGAACCTTGTATTTGTATCTCCGTATTCTTATTCAGATCGTTCATAAATTAAACAAGCAAACCTCTCTCTCTCTCTCTGCTCTAGAAACCTTTTCTTTCTTTTGCTTTTTTTTTCTTTGTGGTTCCCTGTGTTATCTGTCTTTCTTTGTTTATTCCATTGTGGTTTTTTGTTTTTGTCACTCTTTTTTCAAACAAGCAAGCAATACAAAAAAAAGCAGGGTTCATTATTGACCTGAAGAGTTATCTATATAAGGCTCCGTTTGGCAGTCCATTATATGATAAGTAAAAGTATGTAAATCTGGATCATCAGAATGAGGTTGATCAACTGACGATCCGATGCTTATTACAGTGGATTTTTGGTGTTATAGTGTGACCAGCCAAACACGATTTTCACTTATGATAATTGGTGTGGTCCCCTGAAACAATTTGCAGGATATTCCTATGATAATTTATGATATCATGGACTGCCAATTAACAGAGCCTAAAAGGTGTTTGTGAGTTTTGAAAGTTTTTTTGGATTTGACTGATCATGAGGTCTGAACAGTGTGGATTTTGATTGGACAGGCTTATTTGTGGGATGAGTTCAGCAGCCCATGAGTGGTGGTGCACAACAGGACTTGTCCGGCAAGGTCAGTCCAAGCAATCATCCAACTGGCTTGTCCAATGTGTGAATTTGTGCAGTAATACAGCTATAACAAGAAAGCTTGCGGGCTCAGAAGATAGAAAATCAAAAAAAAAAAAAACATCGGCTGCAGTCGGAATATTTGGAAGAATACAGCCAGATGTACAGGTTGTCATGTACTGGCTAGCGGCACCAATGGGACCTGACCGGCCCCCCTGGGGGGTAGCTCTGCCCTAGCGAAGCCATGGGTTGGAGGGTGGATGGAGGAAACTTTCCATCAGGATTCTGATGGTGTTACCCTCATCACCTGAAAGTGAGTGGAAAAAAAGTTAGCTGATTTGACCAGAGGTAATCCATACATACATGGACCTGTATTCTTCCAAAGCTTCCAATTGTTTTCCTTATTTTTTTTTTTTTTTTTTGACTACTTATCTTCTGAGCCCGCAAGCTTTCTTGTTATAGCTGTAATGCTGTTGTCATTTCAACCTCCAATTCTCATTTGTCAACCGGGACAGACAGGTGGGCAACTCAAGAAATACCCAAAAGGTCACCAAGTTAACCCCCCCCCCCCAATATATATATATATATATATATATATATAGGGTCTTAGTTAAACGACTCCCAAATATTGGAGTTCTGACTCCCAAATATTTGGGACGTTGCTAAGACCCCCTGCAGACAGTCTGCAGGCCGTCCACCCCCAGAGATGGGAGTCGGACCTCCCAAACCTTCAACAGGTTTGGGAGTCGATCATCCCTAAAAAAATTTAATTAAAAGATTAAAAAAATTAAAAAGGCCCGCGGGTTTTTTGGGAGTCAA